ATATATATATGTATATATGACCCATCACATCGAAATTGGGATTAAGTCTAAAAGTTGTCTGTGGAGAAATAGGCAGATAGTGTTTTGATTAAAACGCTTGCAAAAATTTCATTTTGTAAAAATATAACAAAGAAATGTATTATCAACATAGCATTTCAATGAAGTGTCTGAAATATTATCCTAAAAAAAATTTTGAAGCACTTTTTTGAGCAGTAGTAACCAAAAACCTGATTTTGAGGAAAAATTTCTTAAAATGTTGAGGTTTTCCCTGTGAGTTAGCAAAGTTTAGTTTCTTTCAGCTGGTAAATCTCAATATTCAAATGTAATTTGAGGTTTCTTTTTTCAAATGACATAAAAAGTCCTCATTAAAATTACATAAAATTAGGATTTAGACCAAATATTTATGTATTATTGTAACCAACAGGATAAATTAAATATCTCTGGATTTACTAATGACATCATGATGATCTAAGTATCAAAATGTAGCTTTTAAAGCAGGAATCTGAAAAAATGATTAGGTCATTTTGACCAAATTTGACTTAATTCTCATTTCGATGTGACGGGTCACATATACACTTAGCAGAAAAATAAATTTGTCTTTGGTTAATTATCTATTTGTTGTAACAAAGCTTTTTATCAGTAAATGATGAACCACACACCTGGCTGGCAGCACCTGGGTGTACCAGCAGCTCTGAACATGTGMCAGAGAAGATTGGACAGTTTTTTTCATAAACATACACAGCTCRYGTGCTCATCCCACAAAGACATGTGGCCCAATTTCAAAGGGAAAAGACAGACTTTTTAACTGTTAGGATTTATTTTCATGAAGCACTGTCACAATAAGGAAGTAATCTACCAAACACACATTTTTTTTTAGCTATGTTTAGTTACCAGCAGTGTATAAAAACATTTTGGTGTTGGAGCAGTTTTTTTTCCAGCTCTCAGCTTTAAAAGCTTTGTATTAGATGAAAAGACTTCAAGYCAGCTGTTTGTGGTCAGGTTAATTTTCTTTCTGGTGGTAAAAGGTTCAAATAAGAGCCTAATCTTAATGAGTCACTGTGTGGGGAGAGGCAGGCACTTTGTTGTGGGATTGAAATGTGACTGATGACTTACTCTCACACAGCCTCCTCCTCAGTCTGCCCCGGAGTTTATCAATGGCGTTGAAGTCAGTGACGTGAAAGACGTGGGCGTTGGTTGGCTCGGCTGCGATCTCCTCCAGCTCTTCCCTCAAAGCCTCCCCGATGCCCACGGCGAACATCCTGATGCCAGCTTTGGCAGCTGCCTGTGAGGGCTCCAGGACGTAGTCCTGACTCTTGCCGTCTGTTAGAAGGATGGCCACCCTCTGAACGCCTTGGGCAGCGGGCCTGGCGCCGTTCCGTTCAGTAAAGATGTTTGTGGTGGTGTAGCTGATAGCATCTCCTGTCATCGTGTTCCCTCCCAGGTAGCGTATTTGACGGGCAGCTTGCTTCACATCTTCCAGGGTTCTGTGCTGCCCCAGGCTGAACTCCACGGTGGGCCTGTCACTGTAGCGAACCACAGCTATCCTTGTTTTCTCTGGTGCTACGTCAAAAGAGTCCACCAAGTTGGCTACCCACTGCCTGATCTTCTCAAAGTTCTCTTTTCCCACACTGGAGGAGGTGTCCAGAATGAACGCCAAGTCGTAGTGGACATTTTTACAGCCTGCAGTGGAAAACAGACACATTTATTCACAAAGACTCAACAACAACTGATACGTTCAAATGTTCCTCCTCTACCTGCTCTCTGTGCGTCCACTCTCTGGTCTAAAAGAGTCAAAGCCAAGATGAACCAGACCAGGACCATCCTAAATCCCACAAGTAATTCCATCTCGATCCTGGGCTTCGTTTCGTTCAGCTTACAGTCASCATCAAGCTCTCCAGTCTGTGGAGAGATCAGCAAAAACAAATTTAAACTAAAGAGACTGCATTTCCTGTCAAAATGCTTCAGTGTTTACTGCTGTAAACTTCGGCTGAAAGCGGCTAAAGAAGCCAAAAGTGAGCTGAATTATTTTTAAATGCTAAACTTTCAATAGTTTCTAAATTGGAAAAGCTGAAGAACACAAAATTAACTGAATGGTTGCTGAAATATGCTGAAGAAAATAAACTGTGGAAACAAAAGCAAGGGAGCAGAGAATAGTTGTAAATGGAGAAATGTGAAAAATACTCCCAGGTGAAAATATTTTGTGCTTAGTATATCACATCTAAGTATACTTTAGTATACTCGAAGACACACTAATCATTAGTATACTTAAAGAGTGCTATTTTGGAACAATTAATTTAATACTAAATATACTTTAGTTGTATTTAAGTTGTACAAAAG